GGCTTTTGTGTGAACTCCTGTTCATCCTCTTCTAGCTCACTAGCTTCATTTCATGCTGATGTTTCTATAGTTTATGTGTACTTTTGGTCTCCTTGGTTTTTTGGTCTTACTCGTTATATTATGATTTGTTAAAGTCTTATTTTGTTGTTTTCAAAAACGTTATTTTAACTTGTGAGGCACTCTCATGGTGATCCAGATCATCCTCAGGCTCTCGTCACACTTGTCAGTTTGTGAAATCCTCCAAAACTTTTACTTAAAACTGCCATAGCTAATAATCAGAACAAGCTAGGTTTTGAACACAAACACAGAATACTCACCCCTCCCCTTGGGGTTCTTCTTCAGACACTTCTGCCGGAACTGGAGACCCACAATACAGGAGAAAACGAGAAACACCAGTCGCTGTTTTCTAGGATGGTGTTTTTCTTTTTGGGACTTTGGTAGTTTGTCCTAAAGTCGCAGTGGTAGCAGCCAGCTGTTTCTCCTTCTCTGATATTGTTTAGCGGAGAACCTCTCACACCAGTGGTGTTCTGCTGCTTAATATGTGAGTGTGTAATGAATGGAGGACCCAAGGAAGTGCGACAGTTCGAAAAGATGACAACCGGATGATCCAATGTGTTATTAGTGGAGGATTTTAGACACATATGAAAGAACCACTTTATTATTTATTATTATTTTATTTTATTTTTTATTTTTTATTTTATTTTTCTTCTCCACAATATATTTATAGCAATGCAATGCTTTTGTTGAGAAGCATAACGGTTTTTTAAGCTAATCTATTTTCTGCATTTGCCATTGTAGCTTTAACTGCAAAATGCAAATGAATACATTTTTTCCTCATGTGTCCCGAGTCAGTTCAAGTCGACACATCTGCAGTTCTGGAGGAAAAGGATGAATGCTTGATGCAAACCAACAGCCTCTAACAGCGCATGGGGCATAAAGGGTTAAGGCTTGGTGTAAACGTAATGAGCACATGTCAGCTATAGTTTGTTTCCTGACATCAATAGACTGATTGCTCATTGGTTCAGGGTCACATAGTGCCTTTCCCTGACATGGCTGTCAGTAGCCGTGGTGAACAGGAAGAAGGCTGCTGGCAGCCGATAGAGGAGCAGTGATGCTGAGGGCACAGAAGTTCTCCACATAGCTTCCATTAACAACCACTTTTATGTGTCCTAAGAGTCCAGAATGCTGAAAGCAATAGAAAATTCATTTGGTTCCCCTTGAACAAGCTCCCAGCCCACCTCACACACCCTCCCCTCCTCCTGCCCTCCCCCTCACCCCACTCACCCATATAAAGATGAGTAATGTGCGCAACATGCGCAGCCACTAGAGGAATATATTATCTCCCCGGCCTGTGTGGCAGTGATAAATGTCCAAGACGAACTGGAGCTCCACAGAGAGAGATTCCACTGAGCCAAACACACTCAGAGAGAGGAGGAGAGCACTCCACGCTGCAGGATTTCTGTACTTCTAAGTGCCCTCTTCACTGACAGGACTGGGACACTGTTCTGTGAGACCAGCTCCTGTTCTCCAACACAGCTTCAGGGGAACGTAAGCCCGGTGGGGTTGGGGGCGTGGGTCATGTTTGTGTTGATCACAGATCCAAAAGAAAATGTGCTCAACAAGCAGAAAATAGAAAAGGACTTCTTCCTATTCAGATGGACATTAAAACATAAAACAACTGAGTTATCAAACGAAAGCTGAGTCAGCATTTTCTACCAAGCTTACCCTACTCTGCTGCTCTAATAGCTGGGTATGGTTAATTGGGTCTGGTTCTTGTTAGTGCAGAGATCATCGTTCTAAAATAAATCCACTTGCATCAACTTCTGGTTTGTGTCTGGATCACTCTTCTCAAAACAAAAGCTCTTTTTGCTTTATTTAAATCTTATTTCTAAAATAAAACTCACTCACTCACTCACTCACTCACTCGCCCGCTCACTCACTCACTCACTCACTCACTCACTCACTCACTCGCCCACTCACTCGCTCGCTCACTCACTCACTCACTCACTCACTCACTCACTCACTACTCACCCACTCACTACTCACTCACTCACTCGCCCGCTCGCTCGCCCGCCCGCTCACTCACTCACTCACTCACTCACTCACTCACTCGCTCACCCACATGCTCACTCACTCACTCGCTCACTCACTCACTCACTCACTCACTCACTCACTCACTCACTCGCTCACTCACTCGCTCACCCACCTGCTCACTCACTCACTCACTCGCTCACTCACTCGCTCACCCACCTGCTCACTCACTCACTCACTCGCTCACTCACTCGCTCACTCACTCACTCGCTCACTCACTCACTCACTCGCTCACCCACCTGCTCACTCACTCACTCACTCACTCACTCACTCACTCGCTCACTTACTCGCTCACCCACCTGCTCACTCACTCACTCACTCACTCACTCGCTCACTCACTCACTCGCTCACTCACTCACTCACTCACTCGCTCACCCACCTGCTCACTCACTCACTCACTCACTCACTC